AGAACATAATTAAATTCCTTAAGCTTGTTAGTAAACTGTATTTGTAAACTAATTCTGGAAAAAAAATAGAATAACATATAAATAGAAAATGTAAACAAAACAAAAGTTAATCTAAGCCCACTGAATTCATAGTGTTTCCTTAAGGAATTTAATTCCCTCCTAGTACCAAATGTTATGGATTATTTCCTCCCAGGATAGAACCAATTACACACTGGTATAGTGGTACTTTAAACCCCAGTGTTTCCGCAAACACAAAGTTCGGTAGCAAATCACACTTACTGTTGCTTTCTTTGAAAGTAAAATAATACAAAAGAAGGATGAGAACTAAGAAAATCGTATGGAAAATCTGAGAGAATAGACTTGTATTTTTAGCCAATGTTGGGATGAAAACTGAAGAGGTGCAACTCTTCAGAATGGTTATTTGTGAAAAATGGACATAGCATAAAGGCCATAACATAAATGGCTAATTTATGCAATAATAAACTGAGAATTAAAGAGGGATTAATATTCTGTTATTAAAACGGATATTTAATGACATTTCTCTTAATATTTACTATTAACAAATAAATTTGGCCCAAAAAATTAATCAATCAGTCATTTGACCAAATCCGAAGCTGAAGCCGAAGCTCAGTCGAGCGAGTGACGACGACGGCGCGAGGCTTGCCTTCTTCTCTATATTTTAAGAGTTAGAAGAAGAGCAATTGCTTATATACCCATCAAAAACCTCTTCTTCTTCCAATATGTGACAATGTCCCTTTGTCGGGGGGAGGGAGGGACTTAAAATTTCGCTTAAAAATTTTATTTTCCTCCATTTCCCATTCACCCTCTTTTAAGTCATATTAATGCTTAAACAACCTAACAGGTGCAAAGTTGAGAAAGTTCATAGAGTCAGCATGTGGATTCTATGTGTCCAGCTGACTCATTGCATTTGTTTCGAATTATGTAAATATATAAAAACAATTAGCATACATGTTGTATGACCCAAAAAATAGATTTTGGTTCTATACAATTAAATTACTAGAAAATCGGGGTTAATCACAGTCAATATCAATATCCAATGACAGATCTGTCGCTTTATGATAAATATGTGCAACACCAAAAAAGATAACTTTAGATAATAAAGAAGCAATAAAGACCTAGAAGTGTAAAGGATAGCAATAAATGACTTCTAAATAGTAAATAAGATAAAGACAACACGACAAAGATGGTATTTTCAGATGTTTTTCTGACAATAATGGATAACGATGAGCAACCTTGTATTCCAATCCTTCTTGTATCGGGTGAGAGGGATAAAAGAAAGAAAGTATAAAATCAAACTTTGTTTCTATTCAATAACGTGTGAATCTTGTACAAAGAATGTTGATGAAATTTTTTACAAAAGATCCAATCCCTTTTCGGATATACATCTCTTCCTATTTATAAGAGCACATGTGTCTCAAAACACTAGATAGTATAACAGAAAGGAATATCCATTAGAATATTATATTCTCTAGGGAATGTAAATACTAAAACTGGTCGTCACTTCTTACCGAAGGCGGATGCTCGTCCTTGTCCTCGTCTTCTGTTAAACCATTTCGACCTTCGACAACGATTTATCCTCCACATCTGACCTCGACCTTTTGGAGTTAGGTTGACATGTCACAATCTTCATAGGCTCTATTGCCGTTGACCGGGTCAAACACATAAAATGAAGTTTTTGCCCATATACATGCAATTAAATAACACTCATCTACTCTAAATCCTCAAATTCGCCTCTGGTCATTCTCACACATACACATATATGACATATTCTAGCTAGGGAATAGCTAATATTTCTAAAATTCTTAAATGAACCCTGTAATTGGTTTTTGTCATTTCAAGTTAAGTCTTAACCAAAACGACATTTTCTTTGGAACTTCTGTATTTGGCTGGTTAATTAATGAAACATGAAAAGATCAAGTACTCGGTAAAGGAAACACTTGATTACTTGTTGTTTTTAATTAGTTAACATTAAACATGAAAGAATAAACTCTTGGTCATCTCCATGGCATGCAGGATCAAAACATAAGTTGAGAAGGACACACTTAAACAAAGCAGCGTCAACATCCCTAGAGCCAAAGCTGGTCTAGTCTCCATTAAACACAACTGTAGCAACCCTATAGCTTCACAAACGTCCTCGTTGTAATGCGCAAAGTACTTCTTCTCCCATCCCATCCAATTTGAAGGTGGTCCTATTTTGCCAGCTTCTAGCAATTTCATCTCTTTAACACGTATTCGAAGGACAATCATGTTTTCATCCACAAGCTTGCTTTCACCGTGATTATGTTCGAATCTTGCATTCGCCACTTGCCTCCGCGTCTTTAATTTCATACACGTTGAGCTTGAAGGAGGATTTATCCACAAAGAGTGACTTGAACTTAGAAGCCTAGAACAAGAGATCAATGAATTCATTTCCAATTACTCTCGGAGAAACAAAAATTAAGTTTTGTGTACTGCTTGAAATTGAGGCGTAGTTGTTATTGTTACTGGAAAGATATAGCAATTGTAAGTGTTGATGAAATCTTGTGATTTGTATATGGAGGGTGTGTATAATGGATTATGAAGTATATATAGAGGGCGAGGAACAAGGTGTTGTGTTACGCATGGAAATTACAAGAGAAGGTTCCAAAACTGCGACGTCGGCGCAATGCGCGTAGCCGCAAGAAAGGGACGGCAACAGGAACTTCATAGATAATTAAGGAGAAAGTGATGTGATTCTTTTGTTTTGCCCCAAGTCTGTCTTGTAACTCAAGGTTGGGAAACTGCGGTTTGATTTGTTTGTTTACAGTGAAAGCTGCATAGGGTTTTAAATATTATTAATGCAATGTAAGTTTGAAATTAGTATTAGTTATCATTTAATCACGTACATTTATTAATGATTGTGTAAATATTTTTACATTTGATTGCTTGTTATACATGCAAGTATGCAACTATGCAAGGTTAAGTTGATGAAAACAGAGACGATAAAAGCAAAGATGATTTGTAGTGGGAGAAAGTTGCTTTAGAGGGTGAAGTCAAATAAGCCCAAATCTTTGCGAAGGCTGAACGTGATGAATACAATACACCAATAGTGGGTTTACCAGGAAAAGAAGAGAAATGAATCGGGCAAATACATTTTTGTCAAAGTATAATTGAGGAAAGTGTTTATTATATTTGGTCGGAAGAAAATTAAACAAGAAAACTTTCCTATTCTTTTTCTTGTCCTGTTTTCTTGGTCGCAACACCCTAATAAAAATTTAATATATAGAAGAACTTCTATTCTAGATTTAAGGACTTTGACTCTTGGAGAGATTAAAATGCGAATGATGCTTATGATCTTGCGGACAATTGTGTCATGCTTATTTTACGAGACTGAAATTTTCATTCTCACTAGTTACCTGCATTGAAACTCGATCGTTTTGTTAAACTTTTTTTATCTCTTGTATTTTTCTATCCCCTCTTTCTTCTGGAATTATTTTTTTTTTAAAACGTGTAGAGTACTTTCGTTGTAATTGAATTTGTATAATAATACTATATAGGGTTCTTCTGGATAAAATGAGACTAGTGCTGAAATTTCGTGGTACTCTATTGCGTGAATTGGCCGCAATAGAAAGGGACATGACCTGGTAATCAAGTGTTTGTTTCTCTCACTTATGAGGAAATTGTCATTTTTGGTATTTGTCTTGTCTAAAGCCCACCGTACGAGAATGAGACGGGGAACCATGCTTAGCTTCTAGAAACTTTAAGCGCTTAATAGGAGTAATAATTTCAACCTTATTGTATGGTCACAAAAGTATGCTTCTAGCACTAAAATGTGAGATAACGTCATCCTAATACTATGGCCTTCCAATTTTCTTTAAACGAAACATATATATAAAAGGAAGAGGAAGAGATCTAGAGAAAGGAGTTTGGATTTGACGTAATGGGCAAACGAATAGTTAAGGTTCATGAACAATTTAAAAGGTGGGAAAAAAGGGATGACAAAGTCTAACTCCATTTCTATTTTCTCCCCAGCCCCTACTTCTTCTTTTTACACAAATCCGTAAATTATATTATTACTCGGTGAAACAATTATTTTAGCATTACCAAGGGTCGTGATGGGATGAATATGATCTCTCAATCCTTAATCGTATGTATTGGGCTCGAATTCTAGGAATGAATTTTTTTTATAAGGAGCACTCCATCTTTAATGGATCTTATACTATACGAATTTAGATTAATCGGGCCTCAAAGTATGTACCGAACACGAATCCTGATAATAGTAGCTAGCATAAGTGAGTGGTTATTTACTTGAGCCTAATTAGCTAGAGTTGTTGGGGTAACTCTAACACTTGTATATATAAAGCCTCTTCAGTTTTTGGTTAATATGGAATGCAAGCGAGCTGACTGTCTTTCCCAAGCTTCTCATCTCAGATTCTTCTAAGTAGGACTGACATTTGCTAAATTGGACCATTTTCTCATAAGTACGGAAAAACATTTGGTACGTTGGACCATTTCTTTTCTTCATTGTTTCTTTTTCACAATTTGCAATATTAACATTGAATGGGAGGGTTGGAGTAACACTAAAGTTGTCTCCGTGTGACCTAAGGTCACGGATTCGAGCTGTTGAAGCAGCCACTGATGCTTGCACTAGGGTAAGTTGTCTACATCACACCACTTGGGATACGGCCTTTTCCTAGATCCTGCCAGAATACGGAATACTTTGTGCATTAGGCTGCCTTTTTTTTAAATTTGCAATATTAGTATTAGCGTTCTAGTATCTCATTTATGCGATAGCCTCAAAAGGATCGTTTCATTTCCTTCACATATATATAGCTCACTTATCTTCTAGGATTCTTAGAATCAATTATGAATCTGACCATTTACTATGTTAATCATAATGTTGGGGTTCCTTTCATGTAGGTGCGACTTGTGAGAGCATATCTCTGTTCGTGAATTTAACAATAGGGGCAGGGGCAGAGATAGAATGAAACAGAAAAATCCTGCCTTGGTCTTGGACGATGTTAATGAGTTAGAACTGTCAATTAGAACTTAATATGTAATGGAAACAAATTGGATACATTACAAATTACAACCATGTAGTAGATTAGCAGTACCTAATGGAGAAAGAAAAGTACTGACCAAAAGCCAAAATTAAGAATGAAAGAATACAACTACCAGGTCTACACTATGTTTATCAAATATGTATACATACTGCAGTCCCATTACAATTCACAACTACTCCTGGCTGACTATTAAAAGACATCAACCAAGATGAACGGTGGACAGGACGCCATTGACCAAATGAGAGAAAATCATGGCCGTCGAAGCTGGAACACTGATGAGGAGGAGGACTAACATCCCAAGAGCCAAACTAGGCCTTGTACTCAACAATTGCATTTGTAAACACCCAACCAAATTACATATTACCTCATCATAACAAGCATAATATTGCTTTTCCCATTCCATCCATTCTGCAGGTGGCTCATAATTTCTCTCAATTACCTTCATCTCATGAACTCTCTTCCTTAACACAATCATGCTTTCATCCACCAATCGCCCCCTATAATCCCAGTCACAAGAATCGTTACGTCGTGCAGAAATTTTACCCTTTGATCTTCTCAGGCTAAGCAATTTTGGATCAGAGAAAGACAAAGATGGAAGTGTACAAGACCAAAACAAGACTTTTTCCATGGCCGATATATGAGAAAATAATAATCAAGTACTGCTGAATGAATATGCATAATTTGGTTGGCTTGATTGGCTATTTATATACTAAGATGAAGTCTTAAGGGAATAACAAGATTTATGATTGGAAAGGAAAAGGAAACTACCTAGTATAGGCCAGTTGCCACATGACATTTTCTCAGATCCACATAAGGCTGACATTGCTGTTTTAATGTTCAAAGCCGACCTGACCTGGTGGATTATTTTAAGCAAGGGTCGGTGATCATATACTCTATTTTTTAGTCAGATTTGTACTACTAATATTTAATGTGCTGACTTAGCTTGAAAACTGAAAAGCGCTTTAAGTCAACTAGATGAGTTATTGAAAAATAACACCATTATTTCGGTTAGCTAGCTAGGTTGTACCAAATTAAACTTTAGATTCCATTTTATAGAAACTTCGTGGTCTACCACTGTTATGAATAAAAATAGTCAATAGGCCATGATGAAAAACGGGTTTGAGAAACTAGCAAATTTTGTGGGGAAAATGATATATATATATATCCGCTCTTATTTTTGCTAAATACATCAGTTACCATCACCATCTAATATACATTAGTCGTGAGAGTATTTCCTTATTCTTAGATGGTATAGTAGGTTAACACAGAAGACATTAAATTAGTACAAAATATTAAAGAAAAAATAAAAAATATTCCTGATTTAAATATGCCACTAGAAACAGACGGTAGTTTTGAAGGATGGGGAGCAGTTCTAAAAGCAAAACCAAATAAATATAGTGATAAGAGCACAGAAAAAATATGTGCTTATCAAAGTGGTAAATATAAAGAAAAAAGAAATATAAGTAGTATAGATGCAGAGATATTAGCTGTAATTTACGGATTACATAGTTTTAAATTATATATATTAAATAAACAAGAAGTAACAATTAGAACTGATTGCGAAGCCATAGTTAAATTTCACCAGAAGATAAACGCAAAGAATAGTAGTAGAAGAAGATAGTTAAATTTTATTGATACTATATCAATATATAACTTAGTTTTTGAACATATTAAAGGAAAAGATAATAATTTAGAACGGTGTTTAATTGATAAATTATGGATAGCATATAATAAGAAAGACACTAAATATTTTATAGCGGCTCTTAATGCCTTAGGACAATATTTTACAGATAAAAACCAAGACAAAAGATTTAAGTATTATGTGGTTATACATGGTAAGACAAAGGTCTATCCAGAAGAAGACTACCCAGAACATTAACACAAGGAGAAGCGTTAAAAAAGAAGGGTATAATTTCAAAAAAAAATGAAAAAATAGAAAATATAATCAAACAGACATTAGAAAACTTTTTTCAAGAAAAGGAAGAACAAGACAAACACATGATTAAGAATCCAAGTCCAAATCCATAAAGGACCCAAAGTTCAGGAGAAGATGATAACTATGAAGACAACCTAAATTATCAAGATGCTCAAGATCCATATGAAAATGAGTCAGAAATGAGTTTTGATTCAATAGCTATACATAATTTAGACACATAAAAGCAAAGTCTCAGTTAAACAGCAATTAAAGAGCATCAAAGACAAAGGAAAAGTAACAAGGCTGGTATACAGAGCAATAATGTTGGCGTACCAATGAGAAAAATAAGAAAGTAAAGAAGATGTGACAGGAAAAAATGCTAGCTGTGCTAAAAGACAAAAGTGACAAGTGACATAAAGTAGAGAAGATGTGACAAGAGGTAATGTTAGTTGTGCTAAAAGACAAGATAAAATTTTGAGTGGAGAAAAAGTTACAAACACGAAAGGAATCTCCGACCAAGCCATGTGAAGATGGGGCCCAATGAAGTACCCTGCAAGGCTAGACAAGATAGATTTCAGAAGAGTTTGGAATCCATTTTTCAAATCCGTTTCAAAATTTAGCTATAAAAAGGAGAAGAAAGCAGAAGAAAAACAGGATACAACAAAAAGAAAAACACTCTGAAGAGAACCCATCCAACCAACCTTTTCATCATCAACCAAAAACCCTCTTCCAAAATACTTTGTAAAATATTTTCTTATGAAATTTTAGTAGTTCCACCTCTAATCTTGTTAAATAAATAAGTCCTTATGCTTATGTGTGATCGTTTTTAATTCCCAAAGCTCAGTGGACTTTTTCGGGTTTCCCGAAAGGGAAATCTCTCTCCTATAAGCATGTAAGTTACTCATCTTTATCTAAATTATGTTTCTGCTAGATATTACCCCTGTTTATTTTAAAATTTTATGTTATTCTGTATAGTTTTATGTTCATATGTTCGATTATTAGATATCACTCTTAGTATATGGTTAGCTTCCCAATTTTTTAACAATTATGATGGATTAACCTGTAAATTTCTAGGAGAAACTGGTTAAGTAAAACCTAAAAACAATTAAGAAGGGTATAAGTGTTTAACCATAGCCGGGGTGAGGTTAAAGAAATAAGAGTTAAGAAAAGAGTTAAAATCTTTAAAAGATAGGGAAGAAGAGATGAACGGAGTGGATAAAAAAAAGAGTAGTAAAGGGGTAATCTCAGTTCATAATTTGGATAATATGGTAACTATACAAGTTTATAAAATAAGAGAGAGAGAATACCGAGTAGGATTTTTACAACACAAGAGTTTAATCGCAAAAAATAATTTTATTGTTAATGTCCAATAATCGTAATAACTATATCCATCCAAAAAGCTTTGCTAGGAGCCTTACCCAAAGTTTAGAAGAATTTATATTAGACATAGAAATCGGATTTTAATCGATAGTAGATTTAACCGTACATTTTATATATCTACAACACAATAGTAGTATTTGTTCAGATATATATAGAAAACAACTGCATCTGATATTGTTAATATTATCATACCATCAATCATATCATCTATACCATCTAAGAAGAAGATTTTAACTTTTTAACCTACTATACCATCTAAGAAGAAAATTTTAACTTTTTAACCTACCCCCCTCTTATATTTTTGGTATCAGAGCAAGAAGATTTTCGGACCAAAAAGTTTATGAAACAACTTATTTTTGCTAAATACATCAGTTACCATCACCATCTAATATATATTAGTCGTGAGAGTATTAAAAATAATATAGAATATAGAGAAACATTAGAATCACAACTAAGTTTCTTTGAACTAAATATTTTAAATACGGAAGATTTTAAAAATTTCCTTCTTCTTGAAATAGAAAGAATTAATATTGAAATACAACAAGAGAAGGATTATATCCAAACCACCAGGAACAAGATAAAACATATCTCATTGGGGTAACATATATGTTGAGACAACATCCTTTAGCTAAAGAAATAGCTTGTAACTATTGTATTTTAAGTAGAAATATACAAAGAAAAGAAGAATTAAAGAATATACTACGAAAGATTAAGGCTTTATTAATATCAACTTTAGAATTAGCTAAACAAATAAAAGAATCAGATTTAAAAATAAATAGAGAACCAAGTTATATAGTAAAACGTAGTATTAGCTCAGAAACCATATCAGCTTTAGAGTGGGAAATACAATATATAGAAGGAGAAATATATTCAGAAAATCAAAGAATAAAATTCTTTAAGAACCGAAAAATTTGGATACCATTAGGTTAAAAAATAGATAAACTAAAGAACCTAGAATATTTAGATTTAAAAATATATCCAGAAAAGAAGTATAGAATATTAAAAGATAATACGGTAATTAAGTGTAATTTTAGTAGTGGAAAACATATATTACATACCGAAGATAAACAATACAATACTTTAGTAGATTTAATAATCAACCTTGGAGAAAAAACCCAGGAAAATAATAAAAACATAATAAGAATACTAGAACTAGTAGAAGCATTACAAACTAAACAAAGAAAGACTTTAGAAAAATTAGAACAAAATTTGGATTTCCTAAAATCACAAGAACTAGAAATAGACAGAAAAATACAATTTCTGAACAATAAGTTTAATCTAGAAAAAATACCTAAGAAAGATGAAATCGAAAAATTAATTAAAACTATTACAGAAAAGCCTAAAGAATTAGAAATACAAACAAACCAGATTCGTAGAAAAAATAACACACCAAGTAGAAGTATAAAAAGTGAGATAAATACCTTAAAAGAAAAGATAGACACAATAAAAGAAATCGCTCTTTCATGAGTGAGTTACAATTACAACTAGATCCAGTATATGAGGAAGCATTAAAGTTCACAGAAAGAATTCAACCCAATCCAGAGGGACTGACTAGTTATACTCCTCAGGGAAAGCGGATCAAATAATAATAAAACAGAATAATACTTTAATAGTATTACTTTTAGAAATTAATAAAAAGCTAGATAAAATTATTAAAGAAAAGGATATAAAGNTAAAAAGAAATAGATGATGGAACTGAAAGTACGATAGAAGATAATGATACTAAATTTATGAATATTGAAATAATACAAGACGAATTCGAAGTAGACATAGCATTAGAAAAAGCAAGGAGGCTAGTTAAAGAAAATAGAAATAAGACTTTCCAATGTAAAGGGTGTAAACTTG